TTTGGTACTGGGGATCGAACTCGGGTCCTTGCGGTTTCGAGGCAGGCGCTGGAACCACTGAGCTAAATCCCCAGCCCAACCAAGAAATATTTATTGAATGCTTACTAAGCCCAGTACCATTCTAAGCTCTCTTGGGGGCATAGAAACAAGTTGTGCACTCAGTCCTTGGCCACAAGGAGTTTATTTAGTATGTAGCTGGAGAGATGGGATACGCACACGTGTGTGCACACATGCACACACATCTTAGCACAGCGCCTGTCTTAAGGAGGATAGTCAGAAAATGTTAGCTGTTTTTTCCCCAAGCACGGGGAATTGAACTTAGGAGCTTGGGTGCTGTAGGCGAGTGCTGTACCACTGATCCGCTCCCCCAGCCCTTCTAAAGTTTTATTTTGAGACAGGATCTTGCTAATGGCCCCAGCTGGCCTCCAACTTTCAGTCCTTCTGCCTCAGCCTCCCTGGTGGTTGGGCCTACAGGTGTGAGCCACCACACCCAGCAGGCTGTGGGCTCTTTCTGTGACACACACACTACTAACATGAGGACCTTCACGCATCACACATTGTGTATTTTCAAGGGAACTACACTGCCCAGAAGGGTGCGGATTCGGGGTAGGAAGCCCTGAGCAGGACTCAGGAGGGCTTTAGAGAGAAACAGACCCAGAACTGTTCTTGCATCGTAAAGAAGCATATTCATACCAGGGATGGGAAAGTGGGAAAACCGGGCGTGTAGGGCTGAATGATTCCACCCTCCTTGATCCTTGATGTTATTGGCTTTTACCCCAGCTCAAGGTCTAGTTCCTAAGACTCAGTGCTGCTGCCAGGATCATTATCATTACCGTCACGAGGAAGCATTTATTCAGAGCCTCTGTGTTCAAATCGGATGCTCCACAAAATTAGGCAACCACGCCATGCCCGCTAATAGCTTAACGTCTCTAATAAATATTGATGCCGGGGAACATAAGCACACAGAGAGAGACAAGCACAAAGCGGGCAGGCAGACACAAACACAGTTGTACAAATATCCCAGTGAGGGTCAGTATTTTATTACGTTTGAGCACACTGTGAAAACGTTCCATGCAGCTTTAGCTGCAGAAGAGACTGTGTCTCGGATCGTTCAGATCCTTTTACATTCAATCACAAAGTAATCGGAGAAAAGAAAATGCTAGAAGGGATTAAAAGTGAGAGGCCGACCCTCCCGGCCCCTCTCGGCTGGCCAGTGGGTAGCTCTGCTTTTCTGGAGAATGCCCTGGGCTTAGCTATCCTGGCGGTCCCCTCACTCGTGTCTCCTTCTGTCTCTTTCCCCCCACTCTCTCTCCCCATCCTGTTTTCCTGCTTTTGAAATCAAAGCCTCCCCCTTCCGGGTGCCCAGGTGATGTTTCCATGGCCAGTGAGCTGCTGCCTCTGCCCTGCCCGGCAGGGGGCCCCTCCCGGAAACAGAGCTGTGCCCTCCTCCGCTCACCAATGCCCAGGGGTGGCTGCTCTGTGGGAGGCTCCGGACACCTTCCTCTTTGCCCCTCTGCAGAAAGGGCGCCGTGGATTTGAAGCATTTGTGGAGAGCCCAGAATCCGGCTCCTGTCATTCAAGCCTCCATCGTGTGGCCTCTCGGCTCTCAGGATGAATGGTGACTGAGGGGTGGCCGTTCCTCCGGAGGACTCCGGGGTCCAGTAAACAAGATAGAGGTGGCTTGGAGCACAGCATTCCAGGCGCACGTATTGTTCACTGCATAAGTCAGGCTCCCTTTTCCTTTTTAAATTAAATT